CTGATGGCCTGCACCATATGCTTTTCATGTTTAATTTCAAATGTAATTTACTGTTGTTTGTTTTAATGTTTTAAACAACACAGTAAATGCAGCAGTTTGGTCTGTATACTGAGAATTCCCTCTAAAAATACACTTTCATTACAGTATATTTGGATTAGCCCTCTTAACTCTTATACTTATTTTAGTTTTGTTTATTACTGATTCAACGCTGAGCAGCTACAGACTGAGAATCACTTGCGGTGATCATTGCAGCATTTGTGCAGTTCTGTATGTTTTGACAGTACGAGCGTGTGTGTGTGTGTGTGTGTGTCACGTGTGGCCTGCGTGTGTGTGTTAGGGTTGGATGACAGTCACAGGTTCATGAACTGCTTGTGATCCATGCTGGTGCGTACACTATGTTTACACATAGTACATTATGTGTCTGCATGCAAGTGTGACTGTGTGTATTTTAGTGTAAATGTGTGTGCAGATTTGTTATGACCCATGATGTGTTTTTTTTTTTCTCAAGAAAAAAAAGGGGAGGCGAAAGGAAAGCTGTGCCTTGGCCTGGATCTCCGCTACCGAGGTGGCCGGGCATCCCAGGGGGGCTGTGGCTCTGGGTCTGACCTGGAGAACGTTCTAGATCTGTGACGATGCACCCTCCACTGAAGACAAGTTTGTGTGTGTGTGTGTGTGTGAGTAAGTTTGTGTGCATCTCAGTGATTAGCCTGACGATCTGCCTATTAAACAGTGTTCCAATAAGTGGACATTCCTGAGTAATAATTTACTACAGAGGGCAACAAATGTAAGTATATTTTGTTATGTACAGTTTCTTAGTTGTAATTGTTTTTTTTTCAACTAGCCACTCAATTTTGTCATTATAAGCCTCAACCAAGTTGTTAACAGTGACATTGCACAAACTTTGAAATCCTAACAAAACGCCCAAATAATAAAACATCAGAATAATTGGAAAAAAATATTTCTAGACTAAGAAAAACAATGTAATTTGTTGATACAATAGAGGAAAACATGGTGGATGAATTTAAATATTTAGTTAATGGTGCAATGAACACAATAATGGCAGAAAAACAACAAATGGGAACATCAGGGGAACACATAAATGCAGTGTCATGCATACTTATTGGGATATTTTATTGGTGCCAAGCTCGTTAGTTTCATTAGTTCCAACTGTGTGTTTCCAGCTATGACACGTCCAAACACATCCAGTGAAAAAAGGTTTGCGGTTTCTCGTATTGCTAATTTATTCATGAACATAAAAGCCAGTCAGAGCAT